ATTATCTCCAAGGATATAAAAAGTTCTTGACTTTCAGTGACATTGGTTGCCCAATTTGCCTATTGACCATTCTGCTCTTCTTCCTCATCCATGGTGCTACCCGAGACTTCCTGAGGAGTGTCTTGGCAGGAATCCACGGACTGTCTAGGGAAGCTGGTCAGGTCCCCCCAAGGGTCACATGTAGCTGCTCAAAGAAGCAGCATGTTTGTGGTGATGCTCCAGACCATCCATTTGCCTCCTTTGTCTTTTGGTATGACTGCCTCAGCTCCTCTATTTTCACGTGTCACTGCTGGGCATCCCTGGCACATCCTTTCTGCTCCATGCTCTTTGTAATCTTGGCATAGATATCAGCGTTTGTTTTGCTGATTCATAGTTCTGCGAGAACCATTTCCTCTCCCCACACAACATAAGATCCAGGATCTTCTGTACACTCCATGTTGGTGCTTGTCTGCAACCTTGGGAACTCATGGAAATCTGACAGGGTACTGCCAGCTTTGAGATGTGCTCGCCAAGTTGGAAATGAAATTCAAATTTTCTCAGGGCTTTTCCTTATGACCTAGAGAGAAGTAGAATTGAAAGTCCTGGCAAGGACTGCAGGGCACTGTGGGACACCTCTCAAACGCCAAGAACATCAACTTTCACAGCACTGCATCTGCACGACCATAAAGTCGACCATGCAAGTTGGAACTTAGCACTAATCCTCGTGAAAGCAGGAGTACAGAAATTGACTTTAATGGCCCGTAAAGTCGACAAAACAGGCTTGTGGACTGATTGTTTGGAAAATTTATGTAAGTTCTATCTAAACTCCCAGTGCAAACCAGGCCTAAGATTTAAATCATGCTTTGAGACTTTAGTAACTCGGCCACAGGTTATGGCTGTTACATGAGTGGGTGGGTAAGTTTCTATGGGCTATGATGTGCAGAAGGACACACTAGATGAAGTCTATGGGCATGTCTAGACTACATGTGGCTTCTGAAAGAAGATATGAAAATTCGGCTCGCATTTGCATATCTTCCATTTTTTCCCCCCCGGAAGAGGCTTTTCTGATATTTGGCCCGTCTTCACAGGGCCAAATATCAGAAAAAAAAACCCTCTTTTGAAAGCCCCCTGTAAACCTCCTTTTAGGAGGAATAAGGGGTTTTTCGAAAGAGGGTTTTTTTCTGATATTTGGCCCCATGTAGATGGGCCAAATATCGTAAAAGCCTCTTCCAGGAAAAAACCGGAAGATATGCAAATTTGACTCAAATTTATATATCTTCTTTTGGAAGCCGTGTAGTCTAGACGTGCCCCTTGAGTCTAAATAAATTAACAGCAGTTAAGAGTTTTGGATGATGCACACACAAAACTTCAAACAGCTGTGTTTGATACAATGTCATTTTTCAAATTAATAACATCTAATATGAACAGTAAAATGGTAGACATTAAGGATTTTTTTGTTAAGAAAATATTAGTCGTGTTAGTAAAATGTTAATTAGTACGTTAGCATTTTTACACAGAGATTTACCATGCTTTTTCCATTGAATTGTGATGCTGACAAAAGTGTGCATGAGGTCATTTTCTTTTCTACGTGACTAATTATTGTGAGGGCAAGTAGTATGAGTTACAGACAGCTGACAATCAAATAGCAAGTCTTGCATTTATTATGTGACTTCTGAGGTACTAGAATTGTTTGTTTCTCTGTTGTTATTATATTGTACCTTATTTGTATACCTGAGAGTCCTATTTATTGTCCAGCTTCTGAACAGTATGCTTTACTGTTGGTGAGAGGAGATGAAACAGAGAGGAGAGAAAGGAAGAGAAAACAGGAAAGAAGAGGAAACAGAGAGGGAGAGGAGACCAAAAGGAGAGATGAAGAGTTAAGAGGGTAGACTAAGTGGATAGGAGAGTGGGTGAGATTGAGATGTAAAAGAACATTCTTAGCTTTAGTAATAAAAACATAGAACAATATTATTTTGTGGAAAATATGTTCTTATCAACTATATTAAAAAAATGGGTCATATAATTTCAGTGATAAAATTGAGAGAGAATATCAAAATCCGACATTTTTAAGTCTCTAAATGCCAGTGTATATAATATCTAACCATTACTGCAGTATGGATGGGTTAAGGGGATTGTGAGAAAATAGCTGAATTGAAGGCTTTAAAACAGGGATGGGGAACCTTTTTTGGGTCAGGGGCCATTGACCCACAGAAAAATCAGTCAGAGTCTGCACACAAGTGAGAAGCACACACACAAAAAAGTGACCCCTAACACCAGAGACTAGGGGGACCCAGGCTAGTAGCTTTTGTGTGCTTGAGCCCAGCAGAGGGATGGCAGGGGGGGCTGGAGCACCAGTGCGGGCTCTCTAATGCTGCGGGGGAGCCCTGAGCCTTGTGGGCTGGATCAAGGTAATATGGGTGCTACCTCCGGCCCCCAGGCCTTAGGTTCTCCATCCCTGCTTTAAAGCCTAATTGATCTATTGATCAGATGTAGACCCCGATTAAATGGGTACAACTCCTATCAGGTGCAGCTGGAACAGAAAACCAGTGTAAATGGAAAAATAGCATAGTTAGCATCAATTTGGCATCCAGTGGTCTCAGTTGTACCAAATTCAGCTTAGGGAAAGTTAGGAGAAAATTCTAAACCACCTTTTTGCTTTTTTGATTCTCTTCTGGCTGATGGCAAAAAGATTCCTAGCATTTCAGCTTTCTCGATAGGTCATGTTTTCTAAGGGTCTAGAAAACATGACCTATGAGGGAAGACTGAAAGAATTGGGCTTGCTTAGTTTAAAAAAGAGACTGAGAAGGCACATGACAGCTGTTTTCAAGTATCTACAAAGGTGTTACAAGGAGAAGGGAGAAAAATTGTTCTCTTTGGCCTCTGATGATAGGATAAGAAGCAATGGGCTTAAATTGCAGCAAGGGAGGTTTAGGCTGGACATAAGGAAAAACTTCCTAATTGTCAGAGTGATTAAACACTGGAATAAATTGCCTAGCAAGGTTGTGGAACCTCCATCACTGGAGAAATTAAAGAGTGGGTTGGACAGACCTCTATCAGGGATGATCTAGATCCGTGGTCACCAACCAGTAGATCGCGATGTACCAGTAGATCTCAGGGGCTCTAAGAGTAGCTCTTGAGCCCTCTCTGAACTGTGCACCTGCGCAGTACATTTACATTAGATTTCCTCATGTAATGTAGACGGGGCTTCAAGGAAGGGGCGGGGCAGTAGATCTTCGCCTGTTCTGAGACTTAAAAAGTGAACTTGGGTGTAAAAAGGTTGGAGACCACTGATATAGATGGTGCTTCGTCCTGCCATGAGGGCAGGGGACTGGTACTGATGATCTCTCAAGGTCTCTTCAGGTTCTAGTATTTTATGATACTATGATTCTATAATTTAGAGCAGGATCTAATTTATGCTGGCTGGAACCCAGCATCCTGGTTGAGGATCTGGCAGAGCCTGGTGTACTCAGACCCATTACTAGAATGTTCCACCTTCATCACACCTTCTGCATCTGTGTGAAGGGGTAAAACAAGTTGCATGGAACTAGCTCTTCTAGTTTTGTGTCACTTGTGGGATTCTCAGCAGGTGGGGTCCAGAGCTGAGTACCCAGCAAAGTGACCAGAACAGGGACCAGGGATTTAGCATAATGGTCCAAATTCAAGATGCAAAAAACAGGGTGAGCAGGAAAAGAAACTTTCTTACATCTCTTTGCTAAGTTCTTGACAATAAAGTGGAATGGAATAATCTTTGCTTTATTTTTCACTTTAATTTTTATTTTCATACTTGTCCTTCTGACTTTTGATATGTAAATTACATTCCTTTCCCACATCCAATAAATGCAATATCTGTGTAAATTATGCTATTCTACCACTTACTCCAGTCTATACTTCCTTTATATCAGAGATAACATTGACTGCATAGCTTACTATTCTATAAAACATAGCTATATTTTAAACGAATCTATTATTAGTCTGTGTTATTCATAGCCAGTGCACATACATCATTATTTAATCTGAAGATTATTTGGATGTCATATTACTATAGAAAACTGTATTTTGATTAATATATAAAAAACAGCATTATAGAAACTGAGTTCCTAGCCAGACTAGTAGAAGCTATAGCAGAAGTCTGTCTTACTTCATAAAGTTTAAGCAAGCAACTTCAGTACTAGACAGTTACCTAGTCTGTTTACATACATCAGAATACAAATATATTTGCAACCTTTATCTGTAAGTAGCCTTCCTTTTGTTAGTTTGTCACACAAACAATCATCTCATGGAACTTAACATTTGTGTGTGCTAGAATTGTATTCTAACTCTGTGGTGGTTATTCTGAAGGGCTGCTACCTATTTTAAATTATTTTTAAGATATAGTTTTTCATTGCTTTATCTTCTGGTATCTTGAGATTGTGGTGATAGACATCTTAAAAATATTTATGATCATAATAGTTTATAGCAGTGTTCTAGCCCAGAAAAAAGGTCCATAACCAAAAATTTACCAGAGAAATATGGTCAGTGAATTTATTATTTAAAGTTTTCTATGGTGGCCACCATCTTAAAATATGGGATTGGGTTATATTTTATCTCTATTTTAATTGTCTTTTTCAAATATTAAGTAAACCTCTTCACAGTAATATGTAATCATTTGCATGTGACAGAAATTAAAAAATACTATGGAAGTTTTATATAGTTACATTTTTCTCCCCCCTTCCCCTTATCCTGTGTATTTGGTTAAAATACTGACAACTTGAAGTTATGCCTGACTCTGAAACAAATTAGTGCAATTGATGGGTGAGACAAGATAACATAAGTGTGAATATATTTTCCTCAAATATTTCTTTGTTTTTCATTTTGCAATCTATTGAGTTGTGAATGATATATTACTTACAAGGAGTATTGTTATCTAATTGCTGAACTTTTTATTTTGGAGGCTTTTTAAAATTCATTTTAATGACTTGTAAGGTGTGTTCAAAATGCTGCGTAGGCATCTCTTTGAAAGATTTTTTTTTCTTCCTTGGAAGGCTGGATAACACATTAGAAGAAATTATATTTAAGCTGGTGCCTGGACTTCGAGAACGTAAGTTGCATTAGTTTTTCTGCCTTTTTTGTGTTATTGGAAACAGCATTTCTAGTGATAGTTCTGTGTTGTTGATCTGACATACCACTTTTCTTTTGTTTGTTGACTAGAGGAACTTCAGCGTGAGATTGAATTTTGGAAGAAAAACAAACCTCAAGAAAATGGACAAGGTAATTTTTTTGCTTGTTCTAACTGTAAATTTAAAAATCTATCAAGTAATGCCGCATTTCTTAAACTGTGGGTCCCGACCCCCCGGGTGCTCGCGAGCAACTTAGAGGGCGGTCGCGGTATCACAAAGTTTGAGAATCCCTGAAGTAATGTAATGGCTCTACCGTACACCCCAGTTCCTTGCAAATACTTGTGTTTATGTACAGTTCTATTAAATTCAGTGGTTGCAACTACACAGGCACATAAAATTACACCTGTGCATAGCTGTTTACAGTTTGTCTATTTAGCGATTGTAAATTTTGAATCTAACAATTTCATCCTTATTTTTTGAAATTCATACTACTTTCTGATTTGAATTCTTAATTTCTTTTCTCTTTTGATCCTAATTATAACCCACTAGGGTTAAAACATAGAACTACATGAATCTTTATATACAGATTAATTTGTTATCAAATTTGACCAGCTGCTAAGTGGGAGGTTGTCAAGACTTAGATTTGACAAGTAACAAAAAAAAAAATTTCCTCAAGTTCTAAACTACTGCTGTACTGTATTTAGATTCCAGAATGGCCGTCTTTCACTAGTTTTCTTAAAAAACTTTTGGGTTCTTTACTGAGCTGATAAGTAGTGTGGAAAATCCAGGGGTTTTCTGTTCTCTAAACTGGCTTCATGATTTGGCTGCCACAGCCTATTTGACGTTTTGTAAATCATTTAAAGAGGTTCCGTCAATCCAAAGAGAGATTTACTATGTTGTATGAGGATTATTTGTTTCAAAGAGGCACTGTCAAATAATCTTTGTATAGGTTTTTTTAAATATACTTTCTGTTGTTTATAATATCCTGTTTTGCAGACCAAAAAAAAATTTCCTTCCTTAGTAATTTTGTACATTTATGTTTAACAAACGTGAGAGGGCAACTTGGATTTTTTTCTCTTTCTATTGATACTATTATTTTAATGTTAGACTGCAGTACAATTTAGACAAAATTTTGCTGGTCAACTACAAAGTACCAAATGTAATTTTACATATTACATTAAAAAAACTTAGAAAATATTTTCATTTATTAATTTCAGTAAAGAAAACAGAACTGTTGATAGTGTTATTTATTCATCATAATGATCCATTAAAAGAAGGGTGCAGAGTCAAGGAAATAACGGTGTAAATTACCAGTTACTGTAAATTTAGACAGTTCTAAGTATTGTATAATTGATATATTTTTAACCAGTTCATCCTTTTATATCTTCATCAAATAGTTCAGTTGTTAATCTAATATAGTTCAGTTGATGGACTTCATGAAATCAAAATGAAGTTTTGTAGTTTTGGGTGCTTCACTGTTGTGCTACAAGAGCTAAAACTGTGACACCGGTAGCCAGCCTACAAGCATAAAGGTTTCAACCATGCCTAGTAATTCCTTGCAGTGGTGATCCCATTAGCCCTTCTAGTCTCATGTCTCTCCCATATCTGTCGAAGTTCTTAACTACCAGACACTCAGAATTTTCTCTTCTGGTATATCAGTCCTGAAGGAGTGAAACCCGTCTTCCCCAGTCATGAGTTCGCTTTGGTACATATGCTTCACTCATTTTGCACAACAAACTCTTGCTTGTGGTAAAAATAAAAGTTTGTTTAATAGAAAAATAATAGATTTAAAGATGAAACGGGACGGAAAAGCAAACACAAGTTACACAGAATATAAACATAAAGACGCAGGCCTTGTCTTTACACTTCTATATATTCCCTTTTCCAATACAAGTTCCTATTGCATCTGAACAGTTTCATAGCATACTAGCCCTCAGTTTTTGGATCACTTCAAATCTTTCTTCTCTTTTAACAGGGATGTGCTTTTCTTTCTTCAGGCTATGGTAGTTCATAGTTACGGAGTTAAGGAGAAACTCCAAGCCCTCCTTATTTTCTTTTCAGTTTAAATGTCTTTCCATGGATCTTCCTGGCTAAAAGATGGATGGGTATTTGAAATTGGTATCATGTAAATAGCTAGCCAGGAAGGTGCTCTTTCCTTCCTGATTACTTTACTCCCTGTTCTGAGGTGATTCTGTAGTACTGCTGTTATAATTACAATTTTCTTCATATATATATATTATATATATATATATATATATACACACACACACATGTACATTAATAACTATAATCTATATACAGTAAAACTCCAATAGTCCGGCATCCAATCATACAGCTCTCCCGATAGTCTGGCATCAAAATGGCAAGAGACTAGTGAGTGAGCTTCGGCAAAAACCGAGTCAGCGGCAGCAGCTGAACCGGGTGAAAAAGGGTTTAAAAAACCTAAAACATTATAGTATACTTTATACAATAAAAAGGATTAAAACACTTCATATACAGTATATACTGTATACAGTGTGTGTGTGTGTGTGTGTGTGTGTATAAAACCATCTTATAGTACCTCCTGATGGTCCAGCATATCCAATAATCCGGCACCACCTAGGTCCCAAAGGTTCTGGATTATCAGAAGTCTACTGTACATATCTCCTAATGAGCATCAAGGCCTGAACATTAAAGCTTTCATAAAAGAGCTTACTTGTCATATATTTATACATGATAACATTGTAAACAAGCATTGATTCAATTGCTTATTCTTTGAGGGTTAGAAGCCCTGTTCTCTTTGGTCATGTCTGCACCCTGATTGTCAGGATCATTAACTTTTTCTTCTTAGGTGTCTGTGGCAGCTTGCTTGTAGAGATGGCCAGGATGAGTGGAGGAGTGCTTGAGCAGGGTAGCAGAGAGTGTAAGTGAAAGGGGAACACTTGAGAATGTTATATTGTTCTCCATTCTGTTTTAATGAAATTATAAAAAAATACACCTGCAGCTTTGCCCTGCTAAAGGCTTGCGTACTCATCCTCATCATAGACCGCTGGACCTCTCTCACTCATCACTGGTGGGCAGGCAGCTTGTGAGCGGGGATCTGGCCAGCAGCAGGACCCACCAGTGCTGATGGGGGGGTGATAGAAAATATAGGACAATTTGCCTGTTTTTAGAAGTCATCTGTATATCTGCAGGAGGGCTTATATATAGGTCTGCCCCTTTAAAAACAGGACAACTGGTTACCCTAGACATAAATAACTAAAATGTAACATGTTTGTCACACTCACCAAGCATCCTGGCTATACCATGCTTGAAACTACATGCTAATATTCAGTAAAGGCACAAACAAGTTTGTTATAAGATTAAGTTATAATAATTTGTTACTATCATTACTGAGGTCTGTTCACCACAAAAGCAGTTGTCAACCTACCGAAATAGACTTTCTGTTAGTGCCAAGGGTGACCTTGGCGGAAGAAGTTTGGATTTGTAAAATACTTCTAAGTTCAGATAACAGTTTGGATAGAAGCATTTGGAATAAATTAGACACCCAGAAATTGCTTAGAAATATGCTCTGAAAAAGAATTAAGTGTACGGATTTCTAACTGAATAATTTCAATAGTGTTACATTGTGATACAGGTAGCAGTTTGCGACTGTAATTTGTGATGGATTTTTATGTCACATGGGGTTTGGTTCTTTCAGTTTGAAGAAATATCTTGGATACTGATTCAATATCATAAGTCTAAAAGGGAGGTGTTTTTTTCAATCACATCAAGTCATGCTTTCATAGATTGCTTCTACCAGATGCCTGGACTGATGCCTGGACATTGCCTAGACAAAGATCATAGTTGAAATAGCTGCAAGGTTTTTTCTCGGAAATAGCTTAGAGCTGTATAGGTCTGGGAGAGGAGTTAGAATTCCTATCAGCATGTCCTAAAAGATGTACTCTTGCATGTGTTTTTATATTGTTTATCTATTGGAAATTAGCCAATTCCCTAATCTGGCACTGGAAAAGCCTTAACAGGAAATCCAGTTCCTTAACAGAAAAGCTTTTTCTATTCAACATTGGTAACTGATGAAAATTGAAGTTAAGCAAGATATTTTTTATTTGCTGCAGAAGCCATGAGGTACAGTATTCTCCACAGACAAATGCTTGTCATGTACATTGCCTGTTTGAAGAAAGAAGTTTAATTCCTGGAATTTCACAGAACTTTCCTTGGTAGTTTGATACAATCTTGTTTATAGATTGTAAAAGGCAGTAGCAGGGACAAATAAAAACATGATTTTTTCAACTAGAAAATGTGCTGGTGATTATTGATGTCTTTTAGACATCAAGTCATTTTGTTTTTGGCTTGTCTAAGATACTACTGATTTTTTGAATGAAAAGTAACTAAAATACTACCTTAAGATAGAATTTTGTATGTAGGGGAGATCAAGGTGAATAAGTTATTATGTTTGAAAATGTGTAGATTGATTGATGCATGAGAAATTTTTTTCCATATAGTTTTGACTCTGGTTTCACATTTTAACTGTTTTTATTCTGTATGAGTAGTTTGAGTTAAAAATACAAAACATAATTGTATTACATAATTGTATAACAGAGTAACAGAATAGGCAAAAATTAATTGGTTCAAGTCACCTGTTTATCTTATGAACCAGCTTTTGCATGCATGTGAATCGGAGTTGATAGCTCTGATTATTTAAACTGTTCTTTTGTTCTAGTTTCATGTTTATTTTTCAGTTTTTATCAGCTACTCATTTTTCTGTTACTTGTGTCAGCTCTTTATCAGTCTTAATATCTTGAATTAGTTCTTTGTGCCTGCAATGTGCAGCTTTTGCTGGTAACCCTATAAATAAAATAGAGGGATGCTGAACTCGCCACTGTTAGCTGTAGATGATAGGTGTGTTGTATATTGTCTTCCAAACTGATTAAAAACTAAACCAATTATAAACGCATCATTTTCCTTTGGCATCTGATTAGTTTTATTTGTATTACAATAATACCCAGAGGTCCTTGTTAAAATTAGGGCTGTGCCCTTTTTACTAGCCACAAGGGAGAGTAACAGGGGAGGAGGGGATGGAGAAGGGTGAATAGAGACGGAGCACAGGGGAAAGAGCAGTGTTTGCGTGGGGACTCAAGGAGAAGTGGCCATGCAGAGGCAGGTCCTAAGGGGGAGTGGCAGTGCAGGGGCAGGACCACAGTTTAGGTCCTCCTAATTCTAGGAAGCTTCCACTGATAGTGGAATCTATTGTGCTAGATACTATAATATCCATGGTAGGAGACACTCCATAAGATGCATCTATGCAGCAGTGTTATTTCAGAATAATGGCCGTTATTCCAAAATAACAATGCGAGCATCTACACAATAATTCTGTTATTTCAAAATAAATTCGAAATAATGGATAGCTTATTCTGACTTCGGTAAATCTCATTCTACTAGGAATAATGCCTATTCCAAAGTAGCGATTTCAGAATAGCAGTAGTGTGGATGCTCCACTGTTATTTCGAAATAGCTCCTCTCCACGGCCATTCAAACTAATTACTTTCCTGTATCTCCTGGGGCTCTAAATTGAGGTAGCACATCCACATTAGGGATGCCTACCTCAGACTAATTTTGAGGCTTTCCTTTAGTGAATACATGCGATTTTGGGGTATTTCTTCCAGAATAGCTTATTTCGAAATAAGTGTGCAATGGAGACGTACCCATAGAGCTTACACAGTAAATTAAGATGCAACAAGTGGGTGTAACAAATAAATGGAGGGAAGGGGGTGAGGGAGGATAAAAGGTAACTGTGATAAAAACATATAGTTACCCAGACTATGCCTTCACTTAAAAAAAAAAAAAAAAGAGGGTTTTTACAGCAGGATATTTTACACATTATCTGTAAAATCCTAGTGGACACAGGGCACCTGTACGTTTTATAGCAAAGTTAATACTGTACCTCTACATTTAATTGATCTTGCCTAGTAAGAATAAACTTCATCACCTGCAGGATTTTACTGCACGATAGTTAATGCATGTTATCCCACAACTAATACATGTTAGTTTGGCGCAGTTAAATGGGGTTGATTTATTCAGAGAGATGAGTTTTTTTACTTACAGGAAGTAAACACTCAAAAATAGACATCCATAATCACTACTAGCCACCTGCCTAACCACTGTGTGTAAAGTAGAAGTCTTTTGTCTGCATCTAAAATTATAATTGGAGTAGTAAACTTCAATTTTCAGGGATTGTATATGAAGGGGGGAGGAATAGTTCAGTGATCTGAACATTGGCCTGCTAAACCCACAGTTGTGAGTTCAGTCCTTGAGGGGGCCATTTAAGGATCTGGGGCAAATCTGCTAGGGATGGTGCTTCGTCCTGCCATGAGGGCAGGGGACTAGACTCAATAACCTCTCAAGGTCCCTTCCAGTTCTATGAGATAGGTATATCTCCATCCATCCATATATATATATATA